CTTGTACAGTGTACAGCACCACTCCGTTATTGTACAGTGTTACAGCACCACCCCCTCTGTTACTTGTACAGTGTTACAGCACCACTCTGTTACTTGTACAGTGTTACAATACACCACTCTGTTTATCTTGTACAGTGTTACAAACACCACTCCCACTCTGTTATTGTACAGTGTCAGACACCACCTTACTTGTACAGTGTTACAGCCCCATTCATTTACTTGTACGTGTTACAGCACCACTCTGTTACTTGTAAGTGTTACAGCACCACTTCCTGTTACTTACAGTGTTACAGCACACCACCTCTGTTTACTTGTACAGTGTTACAGCACCCCCCCACTCCTGTTACTTGTACAGTGTTACAGCACACTTGTAACTCCTGTTACTTGTACAGTGGTTACCGGGCACCACTCTGTTACTTGTACTATGTTACAACACACTCTGTTCTTGTACAGTGTTACATCACCACTCCTGTTACTTGTACAGTGTTTTACAGTACCACTCTGTTACTTGTACGCCTGACATGAAATGGGTTAATCCTGTTCCTTTCAATGAGTTAATGATTCATGAATTGTCATATACTGTAAGAAGCATCCATCACACAACTGATATCACGTAACGAATTAAAATTGGAAAAAAAAACACATGTTGCCAGAGAGTCAGAAATCGTAACTTGTTTTTTTTTTTTTTTTTTTTTTTTGGACACATTTTTCAAGTGCACTATATTTTGGGTAAAAAACCGAAATATTCCAAAAATTTTCATCTTCAATTTTATGGTCTCTAAATAACTGGTCTCAGGTCCCTTAACAGCGCCACTCAACTATAACCCTAAAATAACATAACCAAAAATTCACTACTGATCCATAATTTGGAAAAAAAAATAAAAACGCCTTTGTCCGTTTTGGACTTCATAAGTTTTTAAAATGAATATTGATCCAGGTGGACCATAACGTCGTCCAAGAGGTGTCCCTCCCTATTATGGTTTAAAAGTGAGATACCGGATTATACCTGGAGGATACCTGGGGGATACCTGGAGTAACCTGGAAGATACCTGGAGTACACCTGGAGGTATACCTGGAAGATACCTGGATTATACCTGAAAGATACCTGAGTAACCTGGCCGTAACCTGGAGAGAGGGTTTCGGATGTCAACACCCTAACGGCTCGTCTGAGACCAGCCTCGGGTGGAATCAGCCCAGGTCAACCAGGCTAATAACTTCAGGTTGCACGCAAACTGACGTACGAACCACAACCCGTTGGTCAGGTAGCCCCGAAGCAATTTAAGGTATCTGTCCAGCTGCCTCTTGAATGTAACTGAGGGGTTCTATTGTTAATTCCCCTTATTATGGTTGCAAGCTGTTAAACAGTCTTAGGTCCCAAACACTTTTTGTGTTTTCTCTAGGGGACTCTGTAGCAAACCGTTTTTTCTACTTAGGTGTACTCGTAGCAACCGTGTTTTATCTCTTAGTGTACTGCGTAGCACCCGTGTTTTTATCTTAGTGTCTCGTAGCAACCGTGTTTTCACTTAAAGTACACGTAGCAACCGTTTTTTCTCTTAGTGGTAGCTCGTAGCAACCGTTTTTTCTCTTAGTGTATTCTCGTAGCAAACCGTGTTTTTTTCCTTAGGGTAACTCGCAGCACAAACCTGTTTTTTCTCTTAGGGTACTCGTAGCAACCGTGTTTTTTTCTCTTAGTGTAAATCGTAGCAACAGTGTTTTTCTCTTAGGGTACGTCGTACAACCGTGTTATTTCTCTTAGGGTACTCGTAGCAACCCGTGTTTTTCACTTAGGTACTCGTAGCAACCGTGTTTTTTTTCTCTTAGTACTCGTAGCAACCGTGTTTTTCTCTAGGTACTCGTAGCAACCGTTTTTTTTCTCTTCAGTGTACTCGTAGGCAACCGTGTTTTTTCTCTTAGTGTACTCGTAGCAACCGGTGATTTTCTCTTAAAGCGTACTCGTAGCAACCGTTTTGGTTTTTTTTTTTCTCTTAGGGTACTCGTAGCAACCGTGTTTTCATGTGGGAGAATGTTGCGGTCCGTCTGCCTAGACTTTTGCTTTCGTGGAAGTGATTTTTCCATTGTGACTTTAGAAGACCAGTCCCCTCTTGATTATCCAGGTGTAAATTAATGATCTCTCTCTCTCTCTCTTTCTTCTCTCTCTCTCTCTCTCTCTCTCTCCTCTCTCTCTCTCCAGATCTCTCTCTCTCGTCATCTCTCTCCTCTCTTCCTCGTCTCCTCATCTCTCTCTCTCTCCCCTCTCTCTCTCTCTCTCTTTTTTTTTAGATGCTGTTACAGAAACTTCTTTGCTCTTGTCCTAACGAATTTGACCACAAAAGTATCAGAATGGATCTGGAGAATGACTGCAGCCTCTGGAAGGCCATTTCACTTCCTAGATGTTCCTCTCAGGCAGCCAGAGCTGAACTGATGTGTCCCTGACCACAAAAAGCAGAGTTCTGGATCAAATTTGCTTTTTTAAATTTTGTTTAGTTATAAAGAATTGGGAAATTATGTTTATATCCCAGGAACACGACACAAGTGAAATTTTCTTACATAGTGTTTTTTTTTATTGCATTTGTTCCTATTACAATTATTATAATTATTATAATTATTATAAACATTTATACTAGCATCAGTATTTTGGTATTTCTATTTAAGTTAGCATTTTTCCATTTATTTTTATTTATGTATTTTATTTATTTGTTATATTTGTATTAATTTTATTTGCATTATTTACATTAGTATTAATATTTGTTTCACTACTAATTTTTATATTTATCTTTAATTATATTTGTATTTTATTTGAAGAAATGGTTATAATCATAAGTATGATTTCTAAATTCGTGGAGGGGTAAGCCAGTGGAAGGTCTCGGTCTTATGACCGACAGTTCCAATCTGTGGGTCCACTATCTAAGACCTGCGTCACTAAACACTTTGTCCTGTTTCCTGACGAACCTTACATAATCTTGTATTTCATCTTACGTTATGCAATGTATGTAATATTAATATATAGTTATACTATTAGTCTTGGATAAAAGAGATGTTTCGCCCATGAGTTGGGCTTCACAGGTCACTAACACCTCTGGAACTTTTTTTTTCTCTATATTATATGGTTAGAATATGCTGTATACCTTGATACAGTTTTAATTTCCCCATTTATTCTTTCCTATATGCTGAGAGTTTGAAATTTATCTTACATTTGATATTATTTTGAAAATTTGTTGATGTCCGCTAGATTCTCGCAGTGTCTTCCATGGAGGTCACTGTCATGGCAATCCGGGTGTCATCCGCAAAGGAAGATACGAACTATGCTTGACATCTCTGTCCTGTGTCAGAATGAGGATGAAGAATAGAATGGACGGTGAGTACGTTGTCCTTGTGAACAAAGTTTTTCACGGTAGCTGCTTTGACTATTACTTCCTGTGTATTCAATTGTTAAAAGATATAGATCCATCTACCATTTCCCTGTTATTCCTTTACGCAATTTTGTGCGCTGTCGAAGGCTTTCACAAAGTTTGTGGTATAATCATCTGAATTTTGTTTTACCTCTATAGGCGATCCCTGAACCTTATCATAGTTGGTCCAGTAGCTAGGACAGGCAGGAATACCAGTTTAAACCCAGCGTTGCCCTGGGTTGTGTAACTGACGGGTTTCTAGGCGGTTAGTGATCTTGCTTCTTAGAACACTTTCAAAGATTTTTATGATATGGGATGTTAGTGCTATCGGTCGGTAGTTTGTTGCAATTGCTTTATTGGCACCTTTGTAGAGTGGGGCTATATCTGATGTTTTTAGTGAGTGTGGGATGACCCCTGTGTCCATGCTCCCTCTCTATAGAATGATGAAGGCACATGAAAAGGGCTTCTTGCGGTTCTTGATGAACGCGGAGTTCCACGAGTCTGGGTCTTGGGCAGAGTCTTGTGGTGTTAGGATAATATCAAAAGATTTTTTGAGAGGACCAGATTTTGGGTCTCAGTCATAAAGAATTTATTTAGATTGTCGACCATTAGTCTGGTTAATGGCTCACTAAAAACTGAGTCGTACTCGGACTTTAATATCTCACTCATTTATTTACTGCCATCGGTGTATGTTCCATCTCGCCTAAGTAGGGGTCCACTACTGTATGTTGTTTTTTACCTTAGGTTTGCATAAGAGATGAAGCATCTTTTTTCATTTCCCTTTTAGTTCTTGCCTAAATACTTATGCTCAAGTAAGATACCATAAGCTTAATTCGACATTTGCCTATTTCTCTGACCCATGCGTCCCTTTTTATTTCAAATGATATGGCCCGCTCCGTCAGCAGCTTTGTGATTCTACACCTTTGCCTGTGATAAGGAGGCACACACTCTCTTTCTAGTTTAACACCTTCTCTTTCTCTTTCTTAACCATAGGCGAGATAGATACATCATAATTCTTTTATGGTTGTTTTACACACTTCCAGCAGCCGACTGGCCAAAAAAATTAAACGAGTGGGGAAAATGCGACTGTGCAGGACACAAATTGTTAGTCACGACCTTTGCTCGATGACACTAAATGCCATTCAGAAAGAAGATTATGATCAAGAGCCGGCAGGATCCAGAAAGAACAACACAGCTATGGTAGGTATTCCTGTGTTTTCAGGGGTGAAACTCAGTGTTATCAAAATAAAAGTAGCCTTTCATCTTCCTTCACCAGACACACAATTACCTATTAACCAACATCAGAAACCTCTCCAGAAGCATGTGTTGGTATAGTGAAATACCTTGTAGAGGAAATAATTGTGCCACTCATTGAATTAGTACAGATTAAAATTGTGGATAAAACCAAAGTTTAAGGAAATTAATCTAAGTCTGCCCGATATGCCTAGCATGCTGAGGTGTCTAGGTGGCCCCCTACTGTATTTAGTATTTTATAACATGAAACCACACAATACCCAAAACCTGTAAACCACCCCCACATAGTAACCCTTTATAGATAAAGAAACTTGAACTGTAATTGAATTGAACGAGCCACAGTGAAAAAACACTCACCTGACGAAGGACAGTAGGTTTAGAGCGATCAGGTGTAAACACCTCGCTGTCCCTGAGATGGGATTCATTTTGTCCATGTACAGATTCTGAGGGATCTACGCAGGCTGCCAGCTGCGACCTCTGCATCGTAGTCATTGCACCTTCTCTCAACACTGGATGAAACAATACAAAACCAAATGTAAAGAGATAAACTATCACCACTTAAAACAATTACCCACTTATTTAAAAAGAAAATATTATACACAATCATATAAGACAAATAAGTGGAAGAAAGTGGAATATAATACAGACGATGGAAAGACACAAATATACGACATAACGTGATACTTGACAGACAACTTTCCACAGCTGTTATTGACTTGTGAAGACCAACTTATAGGCGAAATATCTCTCTTTTTCCAAGACAAATAAGTAAAACTGTACAAAAAATACTTATACAATATAGACAATAAAATAACATACATAAAGAAGTAAAAATATATATGAAAAAACTAGTAAAACATATATTAATAGGCATTAAAATATGCCATTAGAACAGGACAAGAGTCTGATGCTCTGTTTATTCATGTGAGAAATTTCAACCACCCAAATGATTTACAAGAAGCTGATAAAGTTGTGTCAAGCAAGTCTATGTTTGACAGAAATATAACTGAATCAAGCTTTATAAAGCTGATAAAGTTGTGTGAAGCAAGTTTATGTTTGACAGAAATATAACTGAATCAAGCTTTATAAAGCTGATAAAGTTGTGTCAAGCAAGTCTATGTTTGACAGAAATATAACTGAATCAAGCTTTATAAAGCTGATAAAGTTGTGTCAAGCAAGTCTATGTTTGACAGAAATATAATTGAATCAAGCTTTATAAAGCTGATAAAGTTGAGTCAAGCAAGTCTATGTTTGACAGAAATATAATTGAATCAAGCTTTATAAAGCTGATAAAGTTGAGTCAAGCAAGTCTATGTTTGACAGAAATATAATTGAATCAAGCTTTATAAAGCTGATAAAGTTGTATCAAGCAAGTCTGTGTTTGACAGAAATACAATTGAATCAAGCTTTATAAAGCTGACAAAGTTGTGTCAAGGAAGTTCATGCTTGACTTAAATATAATTGAATCAAGCTTTATAAAGCTGACAAAGTTGTGTCAAGGAAGTTCATGCTTGACATAAATATAATTGAATCAAGCTTCATAAAAAAATAGTATAGATTTTAAAAATAATATTAGTTCAAAGTTATATTAATTACATTCATTTATAATTAATATAATTTAGGAAGAATTTGAGCTATGCATGAGAGGTCCTTGATACTCCCACCCACATCATACTGGGACAAATGTAATGTCAAATGTAAGGTAATATCTCGGCATAACAAGCCTTCTGCTGGTCTGTTATCTTTTCTGGTCTTTTATAGCATGAGAAATCCCGACAGAACTTGGAAGTTCATTATTTTTTCACATTGATTGTTTTTCTTGTTTACTGTGACATTATCCGCGGGGGACAAGTTCCAAGGTCTGCCGCAGATACCAAAAACCGCGGTTGGTACCAAACCCTTTATAAGCCGTTTTTAGTGTACATACATACATGCCTATGATGTTGGGTTTTGGAGCGGCGTATGAAGGGAGGCTGTAAGCAACGAGGTGGTGTGATGGTGACCATATGGGTGGCAGTGTTGGTGACCCAGTATGGGATATAGTGTTGGTGACAAAGTGTGGGTGGTAGTGTTGGTGACCCAGTGTGGGTGGTAGAGTTGGTGACCCACTGTGGGAGGTAGTGTTGGTGACCCAGTGTGAGTGATAGTGTGGTGACCCAGTGTGGGTGGTATTGTTGGTGACTCAGTGTGGGTGGCAGTGTTGGTGACCCAGTGTGGGTGGTAGTGTTGGTGACCCAGTGTGGGTGGTAGTGTTGGCGACCCAGTCTAGGTGGTAGCGTTGGTGACCCAGCGTGGGTGGTAGTGTTGGTGACCCAGTGTGTGTGGTAATGTTGGTGACCCAGTGAGGGTGGTAGTGTTTTTGACCCACTGTGGGTGGTAGTGTTGGTGACCCAGTGTGGGTGGTAGTGTTTGTGACCCAGTGTGGGTGGTAGTGTTGGTGACCAAGTATGGGTGGTAATGTTGGTGACCCAGTGTTGGTGGTAGTGTTGGTGACCCAGTGTGGGTGGTTGTGTTGGTGACCCACTGTGGGTGGTAGTGTTGGTGACCCAGTGTGTGTGGTAATGTTGGTGACCCAGTGAGGGTGGTAGTGTTTTTGACCCACTGTGGGTGGTAGTGTTGGTGACCCAGTGTGGGTGGTAGTGTTTGTGACCCAGTGTGGGTGGTAGTGTTGGTGACCAAGTATGGGTGGTAATGTTGGTGACCCAGTGTTGGTGGTAGTGTTGGTGACCCAGTGTGGGTGGTTGTGTTGGTGACCCACTGTGGGTGGTAGTGTTGGTGACCCAGTGTGGGTGGTAGTGTTGGTGACCCAGTGTAGGTGGTAGTGTTGGTGACCCAGTGTGGGTGGTAGTGTTGGTTACCCAGTGTTGGTGGTAGCGTTGGTGACCCAGTATGGGTGGTAGTATTGGTGACCCAGTGTGGGTGGTAGTATTGGTGACCCAGTGTGTGTTGTAGTGTTGGTGACCCAGTGTGGGTGGTAATATTGGTGACCCAGTGTTGGTGACCAAGTGTTGGTGGTAGTGTTGGTGACCCAGTGTGGGTGGTAGTGTTGGTGACCCAGTGTGGGTGGTAGTGGTGGTGACCCAGTGTGGGTGGTAATGTTGGTGACCCAGTGTTGTTTGTAGTGTTGGTGACCCAGTGTGGGTGGTAGTGTTGGTGATCCAGTTTGGGTGGTAGTGTTGGTGACCCAGTGTGGGTGGTGATGTTGGTGGCCCAGTGTGGGTGATAGTGTTGGTGACCCAGTGTGAGTGGTAGAGTTGGTGACCCAGTGTTGGTGGTAGTGTTGGTGACCCAGTGTGGGTGGAGGTGACTGAGAGGGTGAGTGTGCAGGCAGTGTAGGCAGTAATTAGGATGGCTGATGGCTACATGACTAGGAGTGCAGATTGCATGTTAGAATGTGTGAGGGCAAGGTGTGGACATGGGACTGTGGGAGTGGGGCAGTGAGGGCTACAAGCTGTGAGGGAGTGGTAAGGGAAAGCATGAGTAAGGTGTGGTGAGGGGGAAGAGGCACTGTGAGGGAGTGGTAAGAGAAAGCATAGTAAGGTGTGATGAGGGGAAAGAAGTAGGGTGTGTAGTTGAAGATGGGGGAACACTCTGGTTTATGCAGTCGTATACCCATATATTTCATGATGTACATGGGAAACATCTATATGTTGTGTTTATTGTAAGGAAGACAGTGATCAACAGTGTGCAGTGAGTGTGTGTAGTATACAATGATTCCCTCTCACCCCTCTGTACGGTAACCCTCCCGCACCTCCCATAACTCATCCTAAGCTTCCCCCACCAAACTACCTGCGCCTCCAACATTCAACTCCATCTCACCCACCCAACTCCCAGAGATTGGACAAATATATGAGTGGGAGGGGCTGGGTTTGATTGGTGTCGTGGATGTGGGAGTTAATTCTTGGGTAGTTTTGGAAAGGGGTGGTTTTGATAAAAACCTGCCTTGTATGGGCCAATAAGCCTTCTGCAGTGTTCCTCCATTCTTATGTTCTTATGGTTAGTTAGTTTAATATCTTTATTATGCACCCTATACCCATCCTGTGGGCGGTAGTCAAAAGATTACAGAGGTACATAATGGGTCCAGGGACTGGGCTCCAAAGTTATGATAGCTGAACTAGTTACAAAGGTAATGAACTCCAGATAGATCTGTTCACAATCATGGAAAGTTCAAAGGTAATGAATCAGACTCACTCCTATGCATGGCTACAGTCATGAGCAAATTACAAAGTAATGAGCCACTGATACGTCCACACCTGGTCACAATTGTAATGAGTTATAAATACAAATATTAAGTGGATCATACACCCACATGAGCGCGCGCTCACACACACACACACGAGGGCGCACACACAGACACATGCACACGAGCGTACACATTCAATTCAATTCAATTCAATTCAAGTTTATTCTCTATAAGGGTTACAATGTGGGGTTTACAGGTTTTGGGTATTGTGTGGTTTACAAGTTATAAAATACTAATTACAGATGGGGCCACTAATTACAGATGGGGCCACTAGGACACCTAGCATGGCTAGGCATTTCGAGCAGACTTAGATTAATTCTTAACATTAAATCTTTACAGATTATGGTATTAAGGCTAAGTGACTACATCATAATTTGTGAGTTTAGCAATGTGAATGCTTTTTGTTTTGGCACAATACAAGGTGTCTATATTGGAGTATCATAGGCAAACTTATTACAAGTTAGGATTTATTACTTTAAAATTAAGATTAGTGTTTCTGGGTTTATAGTCAGTGGGTGAGTGAGTGTAATTGTGAACCACCAGGTGGTTATCATGTAGTTAGTTGTCGGGGTGGATCAGGGAGATAAGATGTTTTCTAACTGTAGTTTTGAAAGTGATGAATGTGTCTGCAGTTCTAGAGTTTTCAGGTAGGGTGTTCCAGATTTTAGGTCCTTTGAAATAAACTGAATTTTTGGAAAGGTTTAGTCGAACACGGGGAATGTCATAGAGATGTTTGTGTCTGGTGTTATGCCTGTGGATCCTGTCACAACTATCAACAAAGTGTTTTAGGTCAAGGTTAATATTGGAATTTAAGGTCCTGTAGATATAGACTGCACAGTAGTAAGTGTGGATGTTTTGAACAGGGAGTAAGTTTAGATCTATGAAGAGTGGGGGGGGGGGGTGTTGCCAGGGATGGGATTTAGTGAATATTCTTACTGCGGCTTTTTGTTGGGTTATTATTGGATTTAGGTGTGTTGCTGCAGTTGAACCCCAAGCACAGATAGCATAGGTGAGGTATGGATATGTAAGTGAATGGTATAGTGTGAGAAGGGCAGTTTGCGGCACGTAGTATCGTATCTTGGAGAGGATCCAAAATTACATATACATAAAGCTCTCAAAAACATTGAGAGCTTTGCGTATTTGTAGTCCAGAGTTCATAGATGAAAAAATCTCCAAAAATTTAAAACATAGCTAATGATCTAAAATACCCATGAAACTTAATTGATAAATCCTTTAAAATAGATAGAAATATTTTTTATAATTCAA